TTTTTCCTTAAAAGAAAGGATTTGGGCCTGGGTATTAATGTTGGGGCCTGAATATTTGGGTTCTGCTCTTTGACAATTGAAGTGGGCTGGAAATACAGTGAAATGGGCCGCCTGGATATTGGATGGGAGGCCCAAATGTGATTCTTTATGTTTAAAAAGAGAGTGGGTTAGATTAAGAGAGGGCCAATTTTAGTTAAATAAAATAAAATTAAAAATTGGCTAATCCTTAAATAAAATGAACTTGTATTATTAATCAATGAGCTCCCCTTTTTAGTGAAATAATTATTAAAATCGTAAAAGTAATTAAAGTATAATTATAATTTTGATTAAACTAATTTAATAAAATACTTAGGTGTACTTCTTAGGGGGTTTTGAATAATCATAAAATATACAAACTATATACATAACTATATATATATACTATCTAAAGTTATGATAAGTAGCACAAAATCCATTATATATTATTATATATTTTCTTCCGCAAGATTTATAAAACTAACTTAAATAATTTGGAAAACCCACGAAGCTCGATAATTAAGTTATACCGAGGCGGGTCAAAATTGGGTGTCAACAAATATTATTTTTAATTTTTAAAATTCTCTCTTCATTAACAACACAATTATATAACTTTTATGAAATTTTAATTAAACACGCGACCTATATTTATTGATCTATATAAATTTCTAATCCAATTCAAAAGGACATGATCCCATCGATGCACATAAATTCATTTTAGAGTAATGTATTTAAGAGAAAATTAGCTTCACCAACTGGCTGGTGTCTTCGATAATTTTGAAGTTATATTCACAAACTTGAATATAATTGAAAGTCAACTCTTTCTCAAAAAATAGTAACAAAGGTGATTGAGGTTAAAATACTTGTCAAATGGCTTTTGCATAATTATGTGTTTGATGTGCAAATTGCTATTGTAATGATGTGTGTTTCAAACTTCTCAAAGCTTTTTCTATACGGTTCTATTCACTGTAATATGTTATATTTTCTATTTACACAATATAATTTAGAATGAATTGTGTTCAAAGTGACTATCCTAATTGAGTGAATGTAGCTATGCCCGAAAATCTATCAACTTGGTTCTTCACGAAACATAAATTAATTGAAAATGATTGGTGAAAAAAATAATATTAAACCCAAAAGTAACATTAAGGACAAATATGATTAAAAAGATGGGAAAAGTCCAATTTTTAGGGTAATTTTCACATATAATAACCATAAAATTTATATTTGTATATTATAACAAAATTTACATAATTGCGTTCCATAGCAAACTTATATATGTATGATTCGCTATACATATACAATTGAAACAAATTGTATAAAACGAGAAAGCGAGAAAGACAGAATTGAATTATGTAAAACGAGAAAGGCAGAATTGAATTGTATAAAACGAGAAAGAGAGAAATTATATACAATTTGAATTTGTATATAACGAGAAAAAGAGAAAGGCAAAAAGAGACTTGTGCAGGGAATATACAATTGAATCGAATTGTATAAAACGAGAAAGAAATTATATACAATTTGAATTTGTATAAAACGAGAAAGACAAAAAGACTTGGGCAGTGAAATATTTGTATTGTATAATTATAAGTGTATAGGACGAAGATATATGTATTTGCATGCGTTTATATACAATTTTCTCTCGCTTTATACAATTAGAAATACAATTCATACAATTCTATTGTATAAAACGAGAGAGTCGAGCAACAGGAATAAGCGCAAGAGAGAGAGACGAGCGAGAATATTAGGGAGAGAGGAACTGACAAACAATTTGCTATAAAATACAAATAAATTAAAGAATAGCTACTATATTTATTTTATATTATTAATTTGTCATTCTATACGAATTAAATTAATTAATTATATTGTCTAGGATCACAAGTGTTGGGTATGCGGGTAGACAGACCACGAATATTTAATATCTGGACAAATCCAGCCTTATTTCAAATATATATATATATATATATATATATATATATTATT